ATGTCTGATCTGACTTCTTTTTTTTTTCGTTGATTCTTACTTTATTTCTTTCATTTTAATTATTTCTTTATTTGATTCATCTCAAAGTTGCCGCTCTCACCGGCCAAAGGAAGTTGTGTGGCCTTCCAGCTGGGCTTAGCTTCCGACTGCCATTGATCCCGCTGGGGCTCATTCAACCACCTGGAATGCTCCCAGAACTGGTTGATGACACTCATTCAGAACGCTCGCTCTATCTTCTCTTAGAATGTGCCATGTGTGCTGACACCGATCTGTATTGGACCCAAAGTGGGGCTTCTGGGCTTGCCAAGAAAGCTTCACTTCTTCTCAACTGCCACTCAAAGTTGTCCCTGCACATAGTGGACAACAAACGCCTGTTGACTTGGAATAAGATTCGTTAATATCTCGAAGCTTAAAGGAAAATCTGGGATCTTGAGAATGCTTGAAAGGGCCACTGACACCCCTCAAAGCTTTTTACTTTTTGCCAGGAGATATGCTGTCAGAAACTACCCAATCAGTATTTTGCTACAGCGTCGCATATATTTTTAATAAAGTAAAAACTGCTCGAAATGGAAACTGGCTTTCGGAAGAAGGAGAAACGTAAAGGAGGAAAGAGAAAGTCCCAGAACTGCACCCGACCGCGCTTTTTTTTTGGCCTGCGTTTTTCCGGTTGTGCAAAGTGGGCGAAAAATGTGCCAGTCGCACGTCGCACAAAAAACGCATACAACTAGGGCTGTGCGAATATTCGAAATTTCAAAAACAAACCGAATATTTTCCTTATTCGAAACATATTCGATTAAAAAATTGCATAATCGGAAGTTCCCGAATATTGGCCAAAGCTGAATATTCGGGAAAAATGGTGAATATTCGCACAAACTACGAATATTTGAGCAAGGAACTAATAATCGGCTTGCCATGCACTCTCCTATGAATATGGTTATTCACTGAGAAAGGCGTATGATGCATGCGTTATCGGTCTGCTCCGTTTCTATCTGTCCGATGGCAGCAAGACCGAATCAGTTTTGGTTTCTTTTTCACCAAGGCCTTTGTTGCGCGACGCTTTTATAGCAATGTGATGTAATTGCGCATTCTATAAATTGATACAATAAACATAGAGAGTGAAATATAAATAAAAAATAAATCTCGAGAGTGTTATCTCATATAAATTTTTGAAAATTTAAAGAAAAGCTAGGTGCGGTCAGAACATTGCATTGCCATCGACAACAACTCCTGCCACTCCCGCGCACTTAAAACTAGGGATGTCGCGAACCTGCCCAGGTTCGAGTTCAATTAAGCTAGACATTTTCTAACTTTCAACATGCAATATTTGTTGGGTTTATTGGCATCACTGGTTAATAACTAATGAAAGCGTCAAAAGTGCTTATTTTTGCTTTTATATGGTGTAAACATTGGTAACCATATTATGAAATAAACTACTTTCTAAATTATTTGTTTCCCAAAATTTGAAATATTCGTGTAGCAGCTGGGCAACACTGACCATAAGTTCTTGGAACTTTAGTGAAATTTCGCAGGTTTCTTGAGTGAAAGGGTCTTTCTACTGGCGGAAATGTTGGCACGGCATGTAGGAAGCGCTTACTTTCTGAACACGTTGAACAGTTAATTTCCCTACACTATAATTTGGAATAAGTGCATTACTAGAAGCATCTTTAGCCTGCTGCAGCCTAGGTAAATGCAGTTACATTGATTTATTTTAAATAGGCAGTAAAACCTGCTGTTACCTCTTGTTTTGCAATTTTTATTACAAGACACATATTCAATATTTGAAGCCCGTTTTTTGTCTTATTCGTATTCGAAAATTTTAATATTTGCACACCCCTACATAAAACGCTTTGTGTTTGACGCACGTTTTTGAAGCTCTTGCGAATTGCTCTTTGTAAGACGAGAGATATCATCAGCCAGGAGAAGGGGCGACGACTCGGCGACGCTTTCGTGCAAATCAGCTTGGTGGTTGGGCGAATAAATCCTAATTGTTTCGATCTATAAAGCTAGACAGATTTGCCGGCTCCGCAAACGACAGTTCTAAAGTAGAAGACCCACGCCTGTTGTCCGCTGCCATTGTTTCGCCGGTTCAGCCGTCCAGCCCGCTACTCCAGCCGCCATACGGAGGATGCACGCTGCTTCCGCTTCTCTGTGGACCTTTCTTTTTTCAATCTAAAGTATTTGCAGTTTTTCAGAAGCCACAAAAAATGGGTACAGCCCAAGCTGATTACAACAGACCTGGTTACAACAGACATTTGGATATACAGTGTAGACCGCATATAACGTATGTCTCGGGAGTCGCGAAAATCCGCACTATAAGCGGTACCACTACAGTCGAACCTCGATATAACGAACTTCAATGTAACGAAATCCTCGATTTAACGAAGTATTTTATTTTTCATAATTTATTGCCCATAGACCCCATGTATTTTTAGTCCCTATATAACGAAGTCTATTTTGCTGCTATTTCAATATAACGAAGCGCCATTGCCATAGAAGGCAATAAATAAATCAACTCTAAAAAACAACTTCGCAAAAAAATTGTGGTTAAAAAAAAAAAAAATTATGCGCAAACACGAGCGCTTGATAGGTTACTTCACGGGGACAGGCCTTCCAACGTTCCTAGGCTGCCCGAGGATGCGGCGCCGGTAGCGCCGGCGAGGCATGCGGCAAAGCGGATTCCGCGAGGCTGGCCAGAAAATGCCGAGCAAAAAGTTAACACGGCATAACAGCATCACCACTGACATTCACTGATCATCATAGTCCACTGTACCGCGGGTAGCGCGGGAGCCAACTTCAGCGGGGAAGCGACGTGATGGCGCGACCGCGCGACCGCACGGGCAGTGCCATCTAGGAGAAGACCAAAAAGACCGATTATCGTCTTGCGAGCATGATGTAAAGCAAAGGCGCAAGCACACTGTGGGCGCAAGGGGGCAAGTAAACTGTGCGGTCAAGAGTGCTGTGTAGGTTGGAAACATTGGCACCGCCTAAACTAAACAGCTTTATTTTTCAACCGGGCGGTTCACTTACGTGCTTGCTGCCATAAGGAAACGTAAAGTTCTTTCTTTGGATGAGAAAGCAAATGTTTTGGACGCCATCCTGAAGAAACTGCCGAGATCACGAGCACTCGGGAAGTGCTCGACGCAATGGACGTACTGAGGAGGTACACGGCGTCGCATGGGCAGCAAGATGCCGTGCAAGTGCTCCGGGCGCTCGAACGCCGTATGACGCCGCCGACGCCGCTGCTACTGTCGGACAAGGCGCAAGCAAAACTCGCGGACTACTTTGCCCCTAAATAAATGTCTTTTTCGGTGAGTTTTCATACCCGTAAAATGTTTCGGAATTTTTTTTTTTTCGCATGCTAAAGCCAAATTTCGATTTAGCGAAATTTCAATGTAACGAAGTAAATTGCGACTTTTACCGACTTCGTTACATCGAGGTTCAACTGTATAACCAAAACATCAATTTTTCAGGCCAAAATACATGCCATCAGACAACTTACCTTTGTAAAAGAATTTATTTTATGTTAGATGGAAAATAAAGCTTAGTTTGAGGGAAGTCGTTTATTTTACCAGACTAGTACAGTGAGTACAGTTCTGTCTCAAGTGTGTCACACATTTTGAAAGAAATGAGCGGCTTTTGCCTGGCGTAGCCTTTAAACGGCGTCGCGGGTTGCGGACGGACGTTGCGAGCGTTCAGGATTGCTAACCCTAATCACTTTTCTCCGGAGATGAAAACGCGTGAAAATTCGCATCCTTCATACGGTACGCGCCAGTGGTACCTTAAACTTGAGCACACGCATGAAATGCGCCAAATAAGAAATCCGGGCGATGTTCGAAAACACAAATGCTTAGAAAGCACCACTGTAGTCGAAGTAAACAAACACGACGACACGGGCGTTTCTGCCGTCGTGAGAGCGCCGCCACGACATCGCCGCACGAGTAGGTGGATCTTCCCTTCTAGTACGTGCTGGGTTATCATAGCCACACGACGAAAATTCAGTCAAGGATAGCGCTTTTACGCAGAACGATGAGATGCACGCCGTCTACGACGACGATCACAACCGACGCCATGTTTGCGGAACAGAAGCAGCCGGCCCGCGACCGGTATGCAACGCGCGCGAACACTTCTCCTCGACCTGTGATTGGTCTGTCGTTGCGGTTGTTTGTTTCTTTGTTTCCAACGCAGCAGAGGGACGCACGCACGTGAACGACTCGTGCGTGCGTCCCTCCGTCGCTATGGCAACTGAAGCCTCTCTCTTCGCTTCTCCCCGCGTTTTCGAGCAACCTCCTTGCCCCGCGAGTGCACTTGGCGGCTCGCGCCGTCAGCGCCGTTATCTAGTGTCACACAGGGAAGCGAGCTCGCTGCTCCGGTCGTCGGCGCGGTCGGCGGGCTGTGCCAAAAACCGCACTATAACCGGTATTTCCCTTCGCGCGCCTGCATTTTAAGCGGTATGTAATTACATGGAGTTCTATGGGAGGTGAACCGGTGGTTTAAAAAAACCGCGTTATACCCGGTCCTGCACTATAAGCGGTTACGTTGTAAGTGGTCTATACTGTAACATACCAATTTGTGAAGTTTGGTTGGTTTTCCTCTACATGCCATTGACTCAATTTCCTATCTGCACACAACATACTCCTCGTACAGCAGACCGAAATCTTGGTCAAAATCAATGTGTGTTATAACGAGCTTAGACTGTATCCTATTGTTTTCTATTTTTAACATTGAGCGTGCCCCTTCGATCACCCGCGACTTCGATTATATTTTGTGTGTGTGCCTAAACCATAGAAAACGGCACATGACCACGAAAAGGAGAGTGAGTGCGGCTCAAGCCGGCTAGTTCTCGATCGGCGGTTTTCGGGCGGAAAGAAAATGAATTTCGAACCGCAAATTAAGTTCCAGGTAGTTGGACTCTCAAATGTGACGTGTGGATAAAAACCTTGGCGAGCATAAATACCGTGTCCCTTTACAAGGGTCTGGGTTGCCTCGTCGGGTCTGTCCAGGCGGACTGCTACTTCGTGGACCACGGCGACATTGATGCGGTGGACGTGTTGAAGCTGCAGGAGTTGGATCCCCGGTTCATGAGCCTCCCCTTCCAGGTAGGTGGTCCCAAAATGCGGGAATTGTCGCTACTCGGTCGTCGACGGCGGTGTGCCCAGTTCACAGTACCGTAAAGACCCAATAGCACGTTTTTAGGGGCAAAGCTCCTTGTGGTTTAGCCTTGTCCGGCATCCGTGCTCACATCGATTGCCATCCCATCTGTCTTCTTAAAAAAAGAAAAAATGTTTGCACAGTCGACAGGATTCGAACTTGTGCGGGGAGACCCAATGGATTTCTAGTCCTTCGCCTTAACCACTCGGCCACGACTGCGGGACGAGTAGGGGGCTCTGAGATGTGGTAGTAACTCAAGAGCTGAGGATGTCATGGATGAAACGTTGCATGTAGTCACTCAACGTCTATACAGGAGAGGGCGCTGCGGTCAAATGCGTATATAATCGCCTTAAACTTTGCATGCATTGGCATCAGCACTACCAATGAACAAAATCAGTATCAGGACCAGCAGAGCTTTGCCCTAATCGACATCATTCACCATGTGAAGGTGCGGTCATTTTTTTTTTCTCCCCATTTTTGCCCTTAAAATTAGCGGTCTACACAGATCTGAGTTAGAGCCTAGCTGGCGGATTTGTGTTTGTGGATAAGTCCAACTGAACACATGTGGAGAGAAAGGCAAGGGGACGGCCGTCGCCAGACTATATTAAAGGCCTTTTTCCTTCTCCGGTCTGAAATTTCTCTTTCCTTTCTCTATATCTTGAGCTGATTCTATCCACAAGGGATGATTCTAAGCTTTTGCAGGGTGCTTGCAATCGAGGGTTTACACAGTTCTCGTCGTCGCCCGATCCCAGTAGCATGCAGTGCGCAGTCTCAGAAATGTCCCCCCCCCCCCGAAATATGTGTCAATTTTTCGGGAAAAAAAGTGTGTTCATTAAGCGAGTAAATACGGTAACTTTTCTAAATAGCTGCCTGTGAGAGTGGTGATTGGCTGTATGGCAGGTGGTGACGATTGATTTTGTATATGTAAGAGACTGTCATTTTTCTAATAAAATCAGAGTTAGTGCCCGTCCTGTTGTCTTTCTCCCTTTATTGTCCTTGTTTTGTTTGTGCTTTTTAACCTTTTAAATCAGCATGCACAAACTGCGCAAGTGTAGGTTTCAAGCTTTCTTTTAGCCAATGTTTAAAGCGCCCTGTATATATGAATGTGAGAGAGAGAAGTTGTGCCCATTGTGCAACTCTTGATCTGGTGAATTAGGCATAGAAGACGTAGACCCGTCGGTTGACAAGCTTTGGAAAAGCGTCGTTGGGAAACGGTTCGTTGCACGCAAGTACGTGCAGATGGCGACCCCCCCCCCCCCCCCGACAACAATCGCCACAAACGACGTTCTATTGTTCGTCTAGGGCATAGCGATTGCCACCGAGAGCATTCTAGGAGGCTTGACAGCTGTCTACAATCTCTAAAGTTTGCACACTCTAGGGCAGTAGCCCTCAAACTTTGAGCTCTTACAGACCCCTTTGATCCACTCAAGGAACCCCCTATGCATTCTGCATCCAAAGTGTAGGTGCAGACCATTGGCAATGTTCTCCGGGAATGCTGCGTGAAACACAGCTCAAGAACCGAGGGGCCTAAGTCGGGGTCTTGACGGGAGGCGGCGAAATTCGCCAAGACGACTCGTGGAATGTTTTCCCATTTCCCAACAGCTACCACATGCGGAGGAAGAACGCACTAGGAGAGGAAACGGTGTTTACACCGTGCACAATCACTGGGGTTTGAAAGATTTCTGCAACTAGGGTCGATATCTGTATTGCTCGGTAAGAGTGGCTTTAAGAAAGTGGAAGCCAACGCTCGGATTGGGTTGACGGATTTGGCGGCTAGGACATTGGCAAGAGGGACGTCCCTCGGGTGGAAGAGAGTCTGCAGCAAGTAATGTGGTCCCAACGGTTGGGACCACCGCCAGGGTAGAAATGGACTTGTGCTTTGGCGGGCAGGCGGTGCAGTGCCGCCTGGACGACCTGCTGGAGTTTGCGGGGGACGAGCGGGCCGGGAGCCTCCTGGCGGACCTGGTGGTGGGCAAGTGCCTGGTGGCCGAGGTGGTCAGCAGGTGATCTCCTTGATCTGTTCCAGATCTCTTTAGCACTGTCCTAGTTGCCTACATTTGAATGAACGTATCTTTAGAAAATCTAATAAGTTGGCAAACAATTTAAAAAAGAAATTGTTAGGGGCGAAGCTCCTTAGGGTCTAGCCTTGTCCGTCCGGCGTCCGTGCTCACATCGATCTTGCTGGTGCTCATGCTCATAATCGTGCTCGTGCAAAACAAAAAAAAAACAAAAAAAAAAAAAAGTTTGCGCAGTCGACAGGATTCGAATCTGTGCGGGGAGACCCCAATGGATTTCTAGTCCATCGCCTTAACCACTCGTCCACGACTGCAGGGGCTCTGAGATGTGGTAGTAACTCAAGAGCTGGGGATGTCATGGATGAAACGTTGCATGTAGCCGCTCAACGTCTAAACAGGAGAGAGCGCTGCGGTCAAATGCGTATATAATCGTGTTAAACTTTGCATGCATTGGCTGAACGTTTATAGACGAGAGGGCGCTGCGGTCAAATGCTCAAATGCATATATAACCCCGTTCCATACCTCTCATTCTCTTTCTGACATGGATGAAAATGAACAAAAAGCTCGACATGCTGCGGCACAGCGCATCAGCACCACCAAAGCTTCGCCCCAATCGACATCATTTTTTTTTGCTGCCTAAATTTAGTGGGCTTTCTTTTTTGTTGCTTCTTTAAATTTTTTCTATGGATCAAGAGATGTTTTTATGCCTCGCTTTCCCGTCTTTCCTTCATTTTTTTTTTTCTCGTGTTTTGTCACTCATGCTGGTGGAGGTCCTGGCCAGGTGCACATGTAAGTGCAGTAGTAAGTCTCTGCCAACTACGCTCTACTGTTTATTTAGCGGCTCTTGGATGCTCTATTTGGTAAGCTCCCATTTGTCACAATCTTCTGTATTGGATGCCAGGAAATTTCAACACGAGCTTAATTTAACATAATTTTTGGATATAAAATTAATGATATATCGAATTATTTTACGATCCCCTTTGAATTCAATATATTAGACTGTATGACAGTGCTTTCCCAAGGTGGAATAGGACGTTCACTGGTAAGAAATGGGAAATAAGTCCATTCTTATTTTTATCACTACCCGGGACGTAAAGCGGCCGGTAGCGGGAGGGGAATGGGGCTTTGCGATACCTCTCTGGTAGTGGACGTGTCCCGAGGTTCAATTTTGGTCACCGTAACAACGAGAGCAAAATCTAATTTGCCTCTTGTGGAGCGAGTAAAGATAGTGTTAGTTGACGACCTATAAACGCGAGCGAAGAATGCAATTCGTCTGCTACGAAGCGCCATTTGCGGAGAAAAATGAAGCGAGAAAACACCGTTATGTCGTCTGCTGACAGACGAGAAAAAAACCTCGTACAAATTGAGTGGCAAAGTAAGATGTGGGCCCGAATCGGGATTGTCTGCCATTTTAGGTAATATAGTGCAACTGGGTAATGCGTCCAAAAGGTCTGGTTGTCCTTGCCTGGGCCGAAAGGTGAGTCCCGGGTGACTGCAGGGACGATCCGATCACTGTGATCCTGTACGACACAACCACGGAGGCGGACGTGAACCTCAACGCCCTGCTCTGGAGGCAGCTGCTCAGCCCGGCCTTCCCCGACGCGGGGGTCATTGCCCGGGCCAGGCTGACCCACGTGGCCCCCGGGGGGGACCTCACCGTGCAGCTGTTGGGGCCCGGCTCCCGGGCACTGGAACGCCTCATGGACAGCGTGGGCTCCTACATCGGGGTGCGTCCCCTCTTTCGCCCCTTTTGGGCTGCTTTCTTGTTTCGGGATTGCTCAAAACGGAGTCTATCCGAGGGTGTTCTTTGGGGAGTCAGAGGAGGAGAAGTGATGGGAGTGTGTGCAGGACGCCCAACCTGTGGCATCGCCGAGCAAGTCGAGGCTGTACGTCCACCGGCAGATGGCATCCGGGACCTTCTGTCGCGTCGCCCTCCTCTCCGAGCCATCCTCCGGGCAGCAGCGGGTGAGTTCCCGCACTCCCTGTGGGGTTGTCGCCGGTCTCTTTAATGCATTTTAGGGTCGCCAAAAGTTGCTGTCTTTGCAAATGCGCAGGAATGAAACCTTTGTCGTCTTTAACCTGCGTCGTTTCGACCGCCGCGTGCTCGTCTGGCCACCACAAATTTGCCCAAACGTTTGGAGGCATCGCATGACGTCACATAGCCACTCCAAGTCACGGGCTCGTGCAAGCTCTAGCTGCGAGCTCATGTGATCCTATAGGTGTCGCCTGATCTGCCAGGCGAGGGACGGCAATTTATGAAAGTACAACACCAGTGATCTGATTGCTGCGCCAAACTGCGCCAAGGGGCTAACCCTGCTACATCCTGCTACATTTTGCCAAAATATGGGTAATCTGCGCCAAGCCTGTGCCAAAAAACCAATTTCGGTCGCCTTTCCATACCGAAACTAAACTGAGTACCATAATTGAGCATACGTGTGTAAATGGCGCTTTCTAAAATGAAACTAAGTACCGCCGCATGTTCACCAAAATTCCTGTTCTTGTTTAAATTATACATTACTATTAAATCACTCTTAAACTCAAAAACTGCTCTGTCGAAGTATAGATTACTTAGGTTTCTCTCGGTAGGCTTTCTTTCGAGAGACAACCAGATACGAGAAAAATCTGCCACGAATGAAAGTTGGTGAGAGAGGTGAGCTAAAGCAAAGAAGGCAATGTCTCCACACTGAACCCGCACAGCGTGCTTGTCTGTCTCGAGTTCAGTCGTTGCACAAAGCGCTCCGAGAACTTCTTGATCCTGGCTCTCGATGTCTTGCATCGATGCGCTCAGGTTTTTTTTTGTGTTTGTGCGTGCATGCGTGTGTGTGTGTGCGCACGCTTGTGGGGGGGGGGGGGCTTGTGCCCGGTTTGCCGGCCTGGCAAGCATGCATCGCTGATGTTTTTTGTTGTATGCTCGACAGTAATACTTTGCAAACAATTTTGGGAATCAATTGTGACGAAGCGGAGTGGTATGGTTTTGGTTTCGATCGAACAGCTGTTGTCTTCGCTCGCGCAACGAAGCACACGGAACTGCAAGCCTGCCGAAGTTGCCCTCACGTGCATGCGAACAGGATTACACGGTAGAGGCACCAGCCGGGGCGCTTGCAATTCATTGTTTTATGTTTGCTTACTTTTGACGAAAATCTGGCACGTAGGGAACCAGTGGAACGGTGGCGAGCGGTTTTTCGGAATTGCTCGGCAACGCCTGCAGCACTCTACACTTGTGGGATGTCTCAGCAGTAAAAACACAAGCAGGGAGTTCCGTCACAACACGTCGCATCAGAACATAACACAACAGAAAGTGCCCTTTGTTTGTATAGCACTAAAAACAAATATTTTAATTTTTCTAAGAATATCTGCTCCAAAAGCCACGTTTGCTGCTCCAAAACACTCTTCTAGCTGCTCCAAAAGCAACTTTTTCTGCTCCAAAACGCTGTTTTGGTTGCTCCAAAACACTGTTTCGGCTGCTCCGAAAGGTGCTCCAAAATGGCTTCGGCCAATCACATCACTGCAACACTGAGTGGGAGACTGACAGACCGTCCGTGTAAATGAGAACTCTAGGTGTGTGATCGAGAAAAGCTTGAAGAGTGCTATTTTTGTGTTTTGTGATTTTCCAAGCTTGTTTTCACATTGAGGTGCAATGGAACATGGACAAGTCTCCTTCCGAGTCGGCAATGTTTGCTTTTCTCTTGCCATAGCCAATTTACCCCATTTTGGGTGAGGCCATCATTAGCCAGGGCATTGCAATTCCTAGACATAAGCTATCTTTCGGTGTTTATGAAAAAAAATAGTGAATGATGTCAAAAATAGGGGGCTGGTTAACTTTGGGAGGTGGGGCACCTTTTGGGATATTATGGTAGCCCAGTCGTCATTGATGTACGTCAGTGTAAGCCTCCTGAAACTTTGGCCTCGCATCGTTGAAGTATGCGATCGTGTTGCGTCACTTGACTTTGCTTTCAACTGGTTTGGGTGATCATCTTGGGTGCGTATTTTTCACCAACATGTTTGACTCCTTGAGGTCTATCTACGATTGACAATTCAGCTATATGTATACATACAAACGAAGGCAGAGGCCTCGACGGTCAATTTTAGGCTTAAGTTCCAACTTTCCGTGCAATTCCTATTGCAGTATGCTTACAAGTTAAATGCTAGCACCTACTCTGACGCATGCCACCGTCGCAAGTATGTATCACAAAGTTGCTTGAAACGAAATAGGGGCTACATTCAAATGCCTTTATAATGAATGCCTCTATAACGAAGACACCCGTTTAATGACGCAAAAATAAAATCCCAGCCAATCTCTTTTGTGTTCAAGTGTTTGTCTGACTACTACAACGAATTCCTGTTTAACGAATATTTCTGTTTAACGCAGCGATTGCGCGGCCCTACAAAAGAAAAATGAGCCGTATTATGAATTTTCTAAGTCAAAAGTAATTGATTTTTTGTAATTTGTTGCTTTCAAGTGACGTGCTTAAAGAAGAATATTGGCGGCGATGGTTAGCAGCGACGTTTGATGCCGCTGCCGTGCCTCCTCTGCGGTCTGTGCACGCTCGTGCATACTTGCATTTACTTTGGTTTTGCTCGTGCCGTTGATGGAGTATGTGCCCCTCCACTAAAAGTTTTGTTTTTTGGGTGCTTCCATCGGGCAATGTGCGCATTCGTTTTCTTATTTGGCATGTGCGTCGCACATTTAAAAGGGACCACCACAAACAAGAGTACCGTATTTACTCGCATAATGGGTGCACTTTTTTTTCCTGAAAAATTGACACATATTTTGAGAAGGGGGGGGGGGGGGGGGGGGGGGGGGGGGCGTTCATTACACGGGGTAAAATATTTGCAATTACACACTTTGTGCAAATGTCGTATTAGGTGCCAACATGAGACGGCAAGGTATTGTGGTACCTCTCCAGTGATGGAGGTGCACCCACAGCTGGTTGAGGGCGCGTCACGATAACCATGCTTTTTAAATTGCAAACCTTTTTAGGGCGCTTTCGGGGTGCCTTTTGCGGAAGGAAAAGCGCCCTACCAAGCTCACTCAGCACGAAAAGCGACACGACCCGACACGATCATTCTGACACGGCTGTTCTTAGGCGATATATATTGCTAGTATCCGGCAGGCACGCTCAGGTATATCCGCAACTACGCATATAAGAACTAGTGCGAAGTCCAACCCTCCAACCCCTGAAGCCCGCTCGCATGGATCAAGTTTCCTTCACGGAGACAAGAACTCGTACAAAGTCCAACCGCCGACCCCCGAAGCCAGCTCGCATGGATCAAGTTTCGTTCATTAAGAGGCTACCAGACGCACTCAACCTAGAGCAGAGCATTCACCTCGCTGTGTCGTTCTGCTACCGATTAAATAAATACATTTACCCGGAGTATGTGAAATTAGGCCTAACCACTTTCACGATTTCACTGTCCGAAAGCGACCACAGACGACGGCTTGTTTGTTGACATCAATGCGTCCGATAGGCGAGGAATTTCCAGGGCTCGGCAATTCCTCGACCCAAGCTTCGTCAAGTGTGCGCGACACTCGGTTTCACGGTTGATCACTTCCGTAACCACCGCAACTACACACTTGTGGCCATTACGAGAGTGAGAGTGGCTTGGCTTGGCCTGACTTGACTTGGCCTGAGTGCTTGGCGGCAAAAAAAAACTGGCTTGGCATCTCGCTTAATTCGGCGCAATTTGAGACTCGCGGATCCGAAAATTCGAGGTGTGTTGATTACGGGAGGGGGAAAAAAAAAAAAAGTCAAAATATTGATACCCGTTGTAGGGGTGCGTTTATTATGCGAGTAAATACGGTACTACAATAAACTTTCATTAGTTTGAGCTCAGTTGATTCGACTTTATGTTTAATTCGATCGTGTTCAAAAGTCCCAGCGAGCGCTCATACATTTCAATGGGAGAGAAAGTTGAATAATTCGAACTCGGGAAGACTCCGCATCGGAGAATTCGTCCCGAACGAATGCGCGCGGGCTCCCATTCCACGGCACCACGGCAGAAGAACCACCAACGCACGGCGAAACACGGGTCCTTTGCTGCAAAGCCGAACGTGCGCAAATATGCGCCTGCTCCTCTACACCGTTGAGATGGACCGTAGCAAATGACACGAGCCAGCGCAACCAATCTGGCGTGGAGTAGCACGGAGAATATAGCACGTGGTCGGGCGCGGAGGCAGCGCATTCTCTCGAAGCGCTTTTCTGTAGCGTCGTGTGTGGTCCATTTTGCGCGCCGAAAAGTGCGGGTTCTCCTTTCCTTTTTATTTTGTAATTTTTTTTCTGCCGCCGACAGTGGTTGTTCGGCACCAAAGTCGGCTCGTAAAACTTGCTTTTTTCGGGTTTTTTGGGGGACGTGACATTTACCGTATTTACTCGCACAATGAACGCACCCCCCAAGTCGGCTCACAAAATTTTGACTTTTTTTTTCACTCGCGTAATAAACGCACCCCCAACTCGGATGTCAAAATTTTGACCCCCTCCCCCCACGGTGCAGCGAGGTCGCGGTGCAGCAACCTCGCTGCTGCAGCGAGGTCGCGAATGCATGGGCAGCGTGGGTGAACAAAACGCCTTGCAAAAGGCGTTAAAAAATAAAAAAAGATCCAATGGAAGCAAGAAAAAAAAAACATGGAGAGGAGGTTTTTTGTTTTTTTTTTTGCATAGTGCAGTCTGGACTTTGGGGTCGCGCGCCGCGTGCAGGGTGATAAGAAAGATAAATAAAACAGCTTGCGAAAGGCGGCACAAAAAAAAAAAAAAAAACCCCACGGAATTAAAAGAAAAAAAAAACAAAACAAAGAGGAGCTTTTTTTTCTTTTTTTTTTTTTGCACAGGGCAGTTTGGTTACAGGGTCACGTGCCGCGCGCAAGGAGATAAGAAAGGTAAGCAGAAAAACCCTCGAGGCGGCAAAAATAAAAAAAAAAAAAAAAAAAAAAAAAAAAAAAAACACCGACCTAAGAGAAAAAAAACACT